CCGTGGAGGACACGGGCGGCGGGACCACAGCGCGTCTGGGCGGTCCCGCCACCCGTGTCCTCCGCTGCGAGAAAAGCCCCATTCGTAAATAGGGATCCAACATAAGTCGGGGACTGCCTGTATATGATTTACAAAATACTGTCAGACAATTTATGCAAAATGGTGCCGAGTGTTTTAGATGTTAGGAAATGGGGAAGCTTGACTGCATGTTCAGCATGGTCACCTCATTCAAATCACTCCTAAAAACTCTCCTCTACTTTTGATGGAAATGAATATTTTTCACACTTACCTGCATACCACATTTGGTGGCCCTAGCTCTTACTGTTTAGGAGTTCTTGAACAAAAGGACTCACAGATGGACAGACAGACAGGTGCACATTTCTAAAATATACAGTAAGATAAGTCAAATCTGTTTCATTATTCTTGTTTAGATATAAAATAATCACAGCAAGCTTCCCAGATTATACATCCAGAGCCACATTTATCGCTGGCATGCTGCACAGAAGTCAATAGTATTAATGCTCCCCTCCCATCCCCCAAATGCTAGGAAAGAGGAGACAGAGGAGAAACACCCATGGCTTTACTGATGATCACACCTGCTGAAAGTCCCCAGCTTCTTTGAAAAAAAATTGAGTGCTAGATGAGGTAACCACATTATGGTTTTTGGTGCCATTAGAGAGAGAGTTTATAGATCAGTTACAAAATATTTCCCTGTGAGCTTGGACTAAAGAGTGGAATTGGACTCAGGCAGCTAACCCAAACCACTGTGCTTGTTGCAACATCCACATTTCTATTTTTAGGGCATTAGCTCAAGAAGAATTAGGAGCTGGCTGTAGACTCAACCAGTTATTCTCTGGGCTACTTTTCTATCCTCTGGCTTTATTCACACCTTCCAATTTCTGCTTGAGCTATTGAGAGTCCATTTACATGGACTACATGTACATTCCCAGTGTAGTGCAAATATACCCTTAGTCTTTTTTCTCTCTTCAAGCTGGAAGCATGAAATATAGCCCCATATTTCCATCCTCCTCCACGTCTAATTCTTTTTTTCTCTGTTTCCCTCCCAGTTCTCTGTAAAAAAAGAAACAAGACAGAGGAAAACAGAAATTGGAAAGAATGAATAAAGCCACAGGGTAGAAAAGTAGCCCAGAGAGTAACTGACTCAGAGAAACAGCCAGCCAGCACCTAATTCTCAAGCTAAGTGAAGGATGGGACCTATGAATCGCTTTGAAGTAGGAATAAGAGCCTCCGGAAAAGGGCGCTTTTTCCGGAGGATCGGGGCCAGTGTAGACGCTCTTTTCTGGCTTTTCTAAACGCCGGAAAAAAGCGGCGGACATTTTTATTTAAATGCCGCGGGGGATATTTAAATCCCCCGCGGATTTCCCTACTACGATAGCTGAAATTAACATGCCCCTTCCAGAAAAGGGGCCAGTGTAGACGAGCCCTATGGGTTTACCACTAGCATTATACTTATTATTCCTCCATAACATGCATACATCAACATGCTGATTCCACAATGGTGGGCTCACCTGATAATTTTATTGAAGAACTGTATGAGATCCCATTGTGCTGCTGGTTATCGCTAACTTCCAGAGCTGAAGTTATTATAGGTTTTGGCTTGAATTCACGCTTAGGACGACTAGATGCTCCATTTATTCTGAAACACAGAGAAAGATTGACAAGACGTTTATTTCTGGAAGGTCATAGAAGCCATAGTGCTTCTGCTTGGATTTAGTGCTTTAACAACTGAAGGGCAGATGGTTTAAAAACATTTTGCAATATAATCATCCACATCTGCTTGAACCCAATGTAATATTTCACAGTCTTGGGTTTTATACAGTTTTATAGCTGTGTTGACTGGGCCACAAGTGACATGCATAGAAACAAATCCAGTAAACTAGTGGACTACGTCTAGACTGGCATGATTTTCCGCAAATGCTTTTAACGGAAAAGTTTTTCCATTAAAAGCATTTGCGGAAAAGAGCGTCTAGATTGGCATGGACGCTTTTCTGCAAAAGCACTTTTTGCGGAAAAGCGTCCGTGCCAATCTAGACGCGGTTTTGCGCAAGAAAGCCCAGATCACCATTTTCGCCATCGGGGTTTTTTTGTGCAAAACAGTTTTGAGCTGTCTACATTGGCCCTCTTGCGCAAAAACATTTCTGGAAAAGGGCTTTTGCCCAAAAAGGAACGTCAAAGCATCTGCGCAAGAAGCACTGATTTTGGACAGTAGAACATTAGTGCTTTTGCGCAAAATCAAGCGGCCAGTGTAGACAGCTGGCAAGTTTTTGCGCAAAAGCAACCGCTTTTGCGGAAAAACTTGCCAGTCTAGACGCAGCCATGATGTTTTAGAACTCAAATCCTTATTGGTTGTAACTCGGAGAGCAGAAAGCATAATTACGAGTGATAAATATTTTTCTTTTTGCTCCATTAATATATCACACAAAGTCTCTATGGTTAATCGTCAACACATCACTTCAGAACTGTCCTAGACAAATGGCAATTTCTTCATGCACTGTAGGATTTTATGTCTACAACACTCGGTACAATGAATAGGTCAGTTTTTTTTAACAAAGCTTCAAAAAATGTGGTTCAGAAAATGTGTGACCGTGTTTACTTGTGTGCAAAAGGATACAAATATTTTGTGCACACAAAACATACAATGGTAAGTGGAGATGCTCCTGATTAATTCCGGCATATGTGGGTGTGGTGCTTGACATGATCATAAGTTTTGTGGTCAGATTTCATTATACAGAAGGGTGTAAATCCTTACAGGCCTACCATGCATCAAAAAGTCACATTTAACAGGAGATTTAAGGTGATTAAGTCTGTAAGATACAGAGATGTAACAAATGAACACAGATATAAAAAGATGCATCTGTGATGTACCTGTGAGACGCTGCTGCTCTGAGCTGCAATTCAATGTCATCATGCACTCCTGAATGTTAGCTTTAAACAATAGGGAGAATTCTCTGATCAGGTGTATTCTTACCGGTTTTGCAGTGTGCTCTGCAGTTCCTCCAGAATTTCTGTGGACTGTTTATGGTAGTCTAGTGCTGCTTCTATAAATACTGCCAACTGGCTAACTTGCTCTATCTAAAGTATAAAGTAGAAAATGACTTTAAAGAAGGCTGCATATCAGCTATGGAGTCAACTATAAGAGTTCTAAAAAACAATAACTCCAGTTGAAAACACTCAAAATAGACCAGGTATCTTATAAGAGCTTGGGATCTTACAGGGTCATATTTCTGTACAGTAAGGATTTGACATAGCTTGCAGTGAGCTCCATGTGGGCAGAGCCATGTGACTACACTGAATCCGAGTGGGGCTCATTGCAGGATCAGGACCATAATACAATATTTGTTCTTGTGTCTATAATGGGACTTATTCAAATGAAGTAATTTGATCACATACATTTATAGTTCCCCCTTTCTTAACTGGGAAAGGTCCTGAAATAGACACAGATAAGATCCCGTATCAGGTAGCAGTGGATTTCAGATCAGTGGTGTCTGGCGACATGAGGTTATGCCATATCTTATTACACAACCAATGAATGTATTCTAATTGCATTAGACCACAAACTGCAGTCCAAATATATCTCTCTAGGTGGCAGCATTTATAAACGGAAATAAAATGTGATTTCTCTGCTCAGATTTTAAAACTGCTGCTAAGTGTTCCAGAATCTGCATACTGAAATGGAGGAGAAAGGAGGGGAACTCAGTTCCCTTCCACATTCACAAAAAGATTTTTTAAAAATGGTAAAAATACTCTGTCCCACAGCAAACTGGCCAATCCATGACTAGCAACTCTGATAAAGTAATCATTATTTCTTCTTCTCTCTTTTTTTGAATACATTACATTTTGATGTTGAGTCCCAACAAAATGAAATGCAGTGTATCACTCTGTCAGGCCTCTACAGGGCCTGATCAGGAGACAGTGTGTGTTGGTAGATTTGTTAAGATCAGATTATTGGTTTATGTTTTAATTTGATGCAATATTTTACTTGCTTTTTCCTTTTCAAAGTGTTCTGAAAACTTGCCTAGAACTCTAATGAAGCAAAACACTGCCATTCAACGTGCCAAATCTCAACTGGTGTAAACTGACGTAGCTCCACTGAAGTCAAGATACCAACACCAGCTGAGGAACTGGCACATTTTTTTTCATTTTACAAGACTTCATGTGTGCATTTCAATAGATATCTAGACATTCATGACAGTCTCTCCCATTATGGTTTGAATGGGTGACTAACCTAAGTGGCTACAGCTGCTGGTTTAACTTAGACATAAATCTGATGATGTAGCTGAACGCTAAGCAAACTCTGACACTGAGTAAAGTCAGGATGAAGAAATCTCATTCAGGGGACATGCTCAGGTGGGGATAGAATCTTCTTTTCCAAATCAGCAGCAAGATACCCAAGAGGAGCTTAGTTGTTGCTATGAGTCTGCCAATTTCCTCTCTCCCACAAAGTTTTTACTGCCCCGGAGTGTGCCGATCCATATTAGTGCAGGGCAGTGGAGTCTCCTTTCAGGACTCTGCAGCATGTCTCTTTCTGAGCCACAGAACCAGGGACATTTCTCTGCTTTTAAGTCCTGACATGTCTGGGAAGGAGAGGAGATGACATATCCTATCACACGTAAAAACTCCCCCTTCGTTGTGCCCTGCAGACATGCAGCAGCAGGACAGACTTACGTCATTTTCTAAAAAGTTGAACATGCTTCTTTCTGCCAGCTCCTTTGACTCTTCAAACTTTTCTACTGCTTGTTTAACTTCTTCATCTGGTATCTTCCCTAAACGCTTCTTTTTATAGTCATAATCCAAACGACGGCCTTCTAGCTTCTTGAGATGATGCTACATGAGACAATTTGATCCCATTAAATCAAATGGAGATAAACCCAAAACAAGCATCTTAGTGATTCTAAGTGGTTTTGATTGTTTATATAATTATACATATTCATAAATGAACATTTTGAAAACTGACTACCTACATTTGCTGTACAAGACATCCCACCTCATGAACTTTCCTAAACGTACAAAAGTGCAGATTGTCTAATTAGAAGCAAGATCCATAGTAAATGTCCTTTTGCTTTATTCAGTTCTAGCTGTTGTATTATTTGCAGTGTGATTGCTAAATTTTAAAGGATTATTTTTTCCTCCTATTACAGGAGTGGAACTCAACCAACCCCTTCATTCCTGAATTCTTTGTCACGTATTAATCTGACTAGGGGGGGGAAGAAGAATGACAGAATTGCTGGACCCCTGCACAAGGTGGGGGAGACTGAAGGAGTGGGGCCCTGAGAAAAAGGGTGTGGCCTCAGTTGGAAGGTGCAGGGCTGGGCCTAGCCTCCCCCACCAGCCCCTCAGGACTGACCAAAGGACCCAGGGCTGTTGCACTCCAAGCCCTTTTGAATTGCTGGGCCCCAGGGCAACTGCCCCTTTTGCCCCCATGTCAGCAGGCCTGAATCTGACATTCCTAGATGAACAAATTGCACAAAGTTTTCCTGTCCCCAAAATTACTGCAGACTCCCAAAATGGAGTGAAAGCAACTGTGCAAGGTGCTTATTAAAACATAGTTAAATGATTTTTCTTCTTTTTTCATCAATTTAGGACAATCTTAACTGAGAATATAGTCAGCTGGCACATGAGAAATTGGCAGCCACTGGGAGATTTACTGACTCTCTGCTCTTTAATTTGTACATGGATTCCTCAATCCATTTTGTGTAAGGTAACTATAACTTCCATTTCTGTGATTCACCAGGGTTTTAACCTCCTTATTACCCTAGTCTTCAGGAATCCAGAGGCTCAGATTTAAATTCTGCCTGGTTTTCTGGACTGTTGTTCTATCATAAGCAAAAGTACTGAAGCGTTCTTCTGAAGGCTAAAAATTCTTTCCCCAGTTTTCTATTTTTTGTCACAATGGTTCATGTTATTTGTCATGCTGCTTTTAGGCACATATGACACTACACTGTTATTGCCCTAAACAGTTTTTTATTAGCAGTCTTGTTTGACTCCTTTTTAGAGCTAACTCCAGCACAGCAGCGCCAGAGGCAAGCAATTCAATAACAGAATTAAAATCAACCAGAATAAATTAAAATAATTGGCACCTACCGTGCTAATAAAATTAATGACACATTATATTAAAATAAGCAACAAAAATATTAATATTCATTTTCTTTACTGTCCATTACTGCATTCAATTTTATTATATTGCAAATATAATACAATAGGTGCCCATGAGCTATATATCCTTGACACTGTTTTTTAAGTACATTTCATCACTGATTTCACAGGAGAGTTCTGCTTAAAATTTGATGATGTAATATACTGCATAAAAGGTTCCTGTAAATGTAATAGGGTCACCAGCCCTACTGCTGTCACCAGAAACCTCCTGAAACAAGGTTCTATCTTCCAGAGGTTACTAAAGCCTAACGGGGAGATTTTAGGCCACTAACACCCTGGAGATACAGCAGGGCTAAGGCAAGCTCCCTGCCTTACCAGCTCCAATGCTACTTCCAGAAGCAGCTGGCATTTCCCTGCATACACTGCCCCCCACTTCCAGCATCCACTCTATAGCTCCCATTGGCTTGGAATTGCAGCCAATAGGAGCTGTGGGGCAGCACCTGCAGGAAGGGCAGCATGCAGAGTCCCCTACCCCCATCCAGGGGCCAAAGGGACATGCCAGCTGATTCCAGGAATGGTGTGGGGACAGGGCCTGCCTTAGCCCCCACTGCACTGCCAACTGGGAACCAACAGAGGTAAGAGCTGCCCAGCCAGAGCCCACACTCTTACCTCCTCCCTCACTCCAACCCCTACCTCAGCCCTGAGCCTCTCCCAGAGCCAGCACCCCACACCTGCTCTAGCACCACTCACCCCCTCCTGCCACTGAAACCCCTTCCCCAGCCCTGAACCATCTCCCAGATACCAAGCCCTGTCATGGCCCTGTCATTCCTGCATCCAGCTCCCTCCCAGGGCTCACACCTCCTTCTACATCCCAATTTCCTGCCCCAGACTCAGCCCAGAGCTCCATCCCCCAGTCTGAAACCCTTGGCCACAGCCCTGCGCACACACCCTCCTGCATCCCAATCCCCCAGCCCTGCCCAGTGAAAGTGACTGAAGGCGAGGAAGAGTGAGCAACTGAGACAGGGGAAATGGAGGGAGTGGGGCAGGCCCTCAGGGAGGTGATGGGGCAGGGGTAGAGCGAGGGAGCTATGGTTTGTAGGATTAGCCCGTTAGCAACCCTAGTTACATTTCTAATGACTTTGTTTATTCATACTCATGACTCATAAGGCTAATTCTTAACCTTAAAAACTCACCCCAATCTCTTTTAAGTCTTTGTCCTGTAGTAATTGTAGAGGATCAATGAAGTTTTGCTTGACGTTAATATCGAGAGAGTCCTTTACCTCTGCCATCTGCTTCATGCATTCACCAGCATCTATCAGTGCAATGCCTACAGGGAAGAACGGGATCCTTATACAAAGTATATTGTACTTTCTATAAAAATAGGAGACATTTTTATTAGCTAAATCTTTAAAAAAGTTGGCTGAAGGCCCTTTAAGATGTAGACTGCAGAATATAAGAGCACACCCTTAGTCTTTTGTCCTAGAGACAGGCCCAGCTGATAGGATAACGAGCCTTGTGGATAAGGGAGAAGCGGTGGATGTCATATACCTAGACTTTAGTAAGGCATTTGATACGGTCTCGCATGATATTCTTATTGATAAACTAGGCAAATATAACTTAGATAGGGCCACGATAAGGTGGGTGCATAATTGGCTGGATAACCGTAGTCAGAGAGTTGTTGTTAACGGTTCTAAATCCTGCTGGAAAGGGATAACAAGTGGAGTTCCTCAAGGGTCTGTTTTGGGACCCGTACTGTTCAATATCTTCATCAATGATGTAGATATTGGGATAGAGAGTACGCTTATTAAGTTTGCGGATGATACCAAACTGGGTGGGGTTGCAACTTCTTTGGAGGATAGGGACATAATTCAAAATGACCTTAGCAAGTTAGAGAAATGGTCAGAGGTAAACAGGATGAGGTTTAATAAGGAGAAATGCAGAGTGCTCCACTTAGGAAGGAACAATCAGTTCCATACATACAAGATGGGAAGCGACTGTCTAGGAAGGAGCATGGCGGAAAGGGATCTAGGGGTCATAGTGGACCACAAGTTGAATATGAGTCAACAGTGTGATGCTGTTGCCAAAAAAGCAAATATGATTCTAGGTTGTATCAACAGGTGTGTTGTAAGCAAAACTCGTGAAGTCATTCTGCCGCTCTACTCTGCACTAGTTAGGCCTCAGCTGGAGTACTGTGTCCAGTTCTGGGCGCCACATTTCAAGAAAGATGTGGAGAAATTGGAAAGGGTACAGAGAAGAGTGACAAGAATGATTAAAGGTCTAGAGAAGCCTATGAAGCCAGGCTTCATGAACTGGGCTTGTTTAGTTTGGAAAAAAGAAGATTAAGGGGGGACATGATAGTGGTTTTCAAATATCTAAAAGGGTGTCACAAGGAGGAAGGTGAAAATTTGTTCCTCTTGGTTTCTGAGGACAGGACAAGGAGTAATGGGCTTAAAGTGCAGCAGGGGAGGTTTAGATTGGACATTAGGAAAAAATTCCTAACTGTCAGGGTGGTCAAATATTGGAATAAATTGCCAAGGGAGGTGGTGGAATCTCCCTCTCTGGAGATATTTAAGAACAGGTTGGATAGACATCTGTCAGGGATGGTGTAGACGGAGCTTGGTCCTGCCTTGAGGGCGGAGGGCTGGACTCGATGACCTCTTGAGGTCCCTTCCAGTCCTATGATTCTATGATTCTAGTGTTACAGTTTTAGGGAAAATGCAATGGGTATCCCCCAACGTGACCCCCCCATTAGAATTTCCAGTTCCCACCTGCCACTTCTCTTGCAGGAAAACCTGATTCCCTCTTCCTTCTCCCTGGGGGACTGAAGGCTGCACTGCTCCCTACCATACAGGGTATGTGTCCCCTCCATCAGCAGTGGGATGCAGATTAGGCAGGACGACATTGCAAATGATTTAAATATCCCACGCCTAATTTGCATAAAAATGGCCGCTGTATTTTGCCAACTCAGCACTTTGTTGGCAAAAAGTGGCAGTCTAGAGGGGATCTGTCGAGAAAGAAAGCCTTTTTCAACAGATGCTGTAAACCTCCTTGTAGGAGGCAGAAGGGATCTGTCGAAAAAGGCTTTCTTTCTCGACAGATCCCCTCTAGACTGCCACTTTTTGCCAACAAAGTGCTGAGTTGGCAAAATACAGCGGCCATTTTTATGCAAATTAGGCGTGGGATATTTAAATCATTTGCAATGTCGTCCTGCCTAATCTGCATCCCACTGCTGATGGAGGGATGCAGTCTAGACATACCCACAGTGTGATACCTCCAACAAGCCAGTCTGCCTAAAGGCCAGTGCCTGCACTTTGCTTTCTCTCTGAGGGCTGTGAAAAGTGTATTGCTGCAAGTTATCACAGAACTCTTTCAAGCAAGCATGTTTATTCTTAAGGTAAAAATATAAATATTTATAAAGAAAAAGCCTTTTGTTTGTTGTCTCTGGAAAACTCAGTAGATGGCAAGCATCCACAGGGAGTGGTGCCTCTCTGGACCTATACACAACCTCACTCAAATCATCCCTCTCCTCGCCCCCGTTTTTAGCTCTCACAGAAGCTAAATGCAACCCTCCCTCCACACCAGAGTCAGATAGAGTCCCTGGCCCAAAGGGATACATAAACCATTCATAATCAAAGATACCCTGCATGGTCCCAATGTGTGTCACAATTAGTACCTACAAGTGTGAGAACTTTTGGTCTCAGGGCAAGAGATGTACAGACAGAACAACATGAAGACAATAAGTGATCTTTTATTTTAAAATAAAACTAAATGGCTAATTTAGATACAAAATGCCCCCAAATGTCTATATCTGTTAGCCACAAAAATGTAATTTTACAATATACCACTTCATTTGTCCCAGTCTTAGGCTAAAATTGCTACCATTATTTTTTTTAATATATGGTCCACATACAAAAAAACTTCTAAGCATGTTAGTTGGGTATTTGATTGTTTGTTAAGCAAACCGAACATGTTCAAATGTGCCTGTGCAAAACATTTTGTTTGACATTTCTTTTTCTTTGGCCTTGGTTCCAATTTGCATCCCCTTGGCACTTGCAAATAGACAAATATACACAGCTTGTGGCTGGTATTGCACCACCTCCCTCATTCCTAAGAGAATAAATAACCCCCAGGAGAATAACCATGTCTTACACAACGTGTCTCACAGCCTGGGAAGCTAAGCCCGGTCTGGAGTCCTAGGTCTTCAGTGCCTGACTTGCTGTTGCTCTTTCAGCAAGGCCTTCTTATGCAACACTGCAGATACAGTCCTATGTAATGTGCAGTCTGCATCCCCCTCTACACTCCTTGGGAACCAGCAGGGAAGTGGTAACAGAGCACAGCAGAGACAGGCTACCTGCTGACAGTTCCAGGGCCGACCCCAGTGCCAGCCTAGAGCAGCCATTACAATGAAAATCCTTCTGAGCCCCCATATCCTTAGGTTGGAATATGCTCAGTCACTCTGTAGCTCATGTGCAGTTTGTTCACATGTAGAAGTTGTGAGGGGATGGAGCATGCTCAGTTGCTCTGTAGGGTGATACAGGCATAGATCTGTCAACCCTGGGAGCTACTAGCAGCTTGAGCATGCTCAGCAAGTCTCTATTGCAATGTTTTCAAAGCCTTGAAAACTTGGCCGAATGTGGGTTGGATTTTCAAGAGTTACAATCCTGAAACAAAGGCTACTTCCCTTAATAAATTCCAGGTTCCTGCTCCAAAGCACAAGGGCCTTCCAGCAACTCACAAAAAAGGTTGCTATGATTTTTTTAATATGAACATACATTTTCCCAACCTTGTTTTAAAAAATGACTGAACTGCTTTGGCTGAAAGTTCTTAAAACCAGCCAGAGGCAGGCACTTCTAAGCAACAATCCATCTTCTAAGCAACAGTCACATATGTATAAGTAGTGTTATTCCACATACAACATATGCTGCGACATGCATAAGGGAGCTACACAAACTCACCAAATGTGGAATCCTCCCCAAGTTCTCGGCCATACCGCAGCATACAATCCCCCAATAGCCCTTCTGTCTGAGGATATCCTGTGGTTTTAACCTGTCCTCTGATCTTCGACATAGTGTTCAGCATTCCCAGCTTGGCTCTGTATGCTTAGAAATATTTTAAATCATATGAAAAAACCATCCATTTATGGCCTGATTTTTTGTAATTGTTATGTTACATAAAATGATTTGACAAATCATTTCAGTGAGTGACTGTTGGCCTGATCAGTAAGCATTTTGTGGTGGGAATTCAATAATTAAAATGTGAGAGGGGTTTTCATATGGGTCCTATGATATGTTCTCTTCCCTGATTGGATGAGCTTAGCTGTAATACGTTTATGGTATCCATAACTGCACTTAAGAGTTGAATAATCACCATTATCAATAAATTTCAATATTTACTATTCTCATGACAATTCCAGCAAGAGTTTTTACAGAAAGCAAACACAAAAGGAATATGAATGTAGCCAAAGTCAACTTCATGGTTTTATTTGAGTTACCGTTTGGAGAACTACTTTCCATTGGCATATCTGCTCAGGTCCACCGGCCAAGACACTGGGAATTAATTTTTTAGACTGGCTGCAATGTTGAAAAATGCTGATTTTATCCATATCCTGTATAAGCAGTGTCAAAAGCAGACATTTATTTCTAAAGAGTTTTCCTCTCGCCACTCTTAATTTTCATCACAACATAGCTTCATCTACTATATATTTGAGAGAGTTTGTGAGCGAACGAGTCTGTCCATCTGTTTGTTCAAGAACTCTTCCTAAATAGTAAGCACGAGGACCATGTAGCTTCCTCCTATCATAACTTAAAGCAAGGGAAGGGTTCTGTTGTGCAGAGGAGAGGGGCAGGCTGTTCCCCTTTCTCAGGGAACAAGAGGAAAATGCACAGTTTGCTCCATTCCTCACTCTGGCTGGGGAGCACAAGGAGCAGACAAACCTGGCTCTCCCCCAGTCAGGGGACATGTACCTTGTGGCTGTGCCTTCTGGAGCTGTGGTGGCCATGGAGAGGCACTTCTCACCTGGCCCCAAGACACTATGGTGAGAGACGGCTACACTACCAAGGTTTCTCTACACTACCGAGGTTTTTCAGAAAAACGTCTGTTTTTCCAAAAAAACTTCAGTTATGTCCACACTGCAATCATATTCTTCTGAAAGAAAATTGAAAGAACAGAGGGTTTTTCTAACATTGGTAATCCTCATTCTACGAGCTCTTTCGGAAAAAGGTTAAAAAAAAAAAAAAAAAAAAAAAAAGGAAAAAGCACAGGTGCTCTGGTGGCCACTCCGCCCATAGTATTAACAGCTTAGATGCAAGATAGCGTCCATTCAGTGTGGACACTCTCTTTCGGAAGGAATTTTTCCAGAAGATCTCTTCCGGAAAAGCTTCTTCCAAAAGAAGTCTGAAGTCTAGACATAGCCTCACTGGGGAAGCCCTCATCCCCAGACCCACCCCAGATCAATGATTTAAATGAAGAAAAACTAAAATTAATTGAGGTGGGGACCCAAGCAATGCCAGGTAAATCTTCAAGTAATACAATACTGGATTTGTGCTGGGCATTCATGGGATTAACAATCGTCATCACTGGCTTTATCTGGAGCCTCCCAGAAAATCATTAAGATTTGATAAGGCCTAATCCTACACTACTTACTCAGGAGAAACTCATTGAAATCTCCCTCCAGCCATGGATTTCATGCACCCACACTGGGTAGATATCTCTCTGACATTGCATAGGGAATGTGCGATCAGTCTCTCTTCTTTTGTTCTAATGAAGACAATGAAACTCTTTCCATTCAACTGAGTGGACAGTGGATCAGTCTCTTAATGCCCCATGCCTTAATCACATTAAATCAAACCAATGGCCAGCATCAATGTCCCTCCTTTCTCTGTTCTCAGACTGAAATTTGAAAAATCCTGTAAATTAACTCCCCCAGTGTCTGTTGAAGTGCTCAGAAAAGGCGATTGAGCCATTAAAAAAGGTAGAGACAGGCCTGCTTATCTTTCACTGATCTGTTTCATATTCCCTGAAAATATGAGCAACCCACAGGAGTTCAATATTATTCCTGGTACAGATGCTATTCAAGTTCAGCTCATAATAAAGGAACTGTAGGAATTCAGTTTACCTGGATTTGGCTGAAGATACTCTGTGGATTTTGACAAAAGCTCTGCTACAGCTTTGCTGGTGACATCAATTTTCTAGTAGAGAAATGTAACAGGACATTAAATACCACAACCCTTTATCCTCTGACTAGATACAATATATTATTCTGGCAAGCTAAGAAGTTTTAATTAAAATCAGTACAAAACATTATCCACTTTAATTTTTGTTGTGCCAAAGCTTTCATTAATGATGCTGAAAAGAAAGGAAGTTGAGTGTTGTATTAAGCCCAGTTGCCAGCATCAAAGTGTAGAAAGATAATTAACCCCTCAGAGCTAATAGTCATTCTTCATGAAAAACACTGCTATATTTTGGATTCGCAATTTCTTCCCCAGCCCTCTTTATCCCTACTATATCAACCATGTACCTGAGAAGCTGATTCAGGAATTCCTTCATCCCAGTTCTATGTTCTCTGCTCTTTAGTGCATGAACCCATATAGCAGCTATAGTCGATAGTATCTAAAACAGCGGTTCCCAACCACCAGTCCATGAACCCGCAGCAGGCCACAGGCTGCACACTGCCAGGCCATGCCCCCAGCTGCTAATGAACCCCGCCCACTGGGGTTCCCCACGCAGCAGCAGGGTGAATGGTCCAGCAGACAATCGGGTGTGCTGCAGCTGGAGCTGGGGCCGCAATGAAGCTGTCTCTACTGGGGCAGCCTCACTGTGGCCTCAATTCCAGTGCCACTGGCTGCTATGTGGCCCGGCTGGTGGGGCCGTGTGATGGGCAGCTGCAGCATTTGGCCGGGGCCAAATGCCATGTGGAGCGCAGCTGCTGTGGCAGCCAGGCTCCATGTGGCTCTCGGCCCTAGCTGAGCACTGCAGCAACCGAGCTCCACATGGCACTTGGCCCCAGGTGAGCACTGTGGCAGCCCAGCTCCACGTGGCACTTGGCCCCAGCGGAGTGCTGTGGCAGCTAAGATCCACATGGTGCTTGGCCCCGGCTAAGCACTGCAGCTGCACTTACTCAGCAGGGGACCAGCTGGTGGCACTAAGCTGGGACCAAGTACCACATGAACCCAGCTCCCACAGTGCTCAGTAGGGTGACCTGGGGAGATGCAGTGGAGCTCTGGAAACAGGAAGCTGGCATTGAAGTGTTTGGGGCAGAGGGGGGCTGGTACAAGGGAACTCTGAGAGCAAGAGGCTAGCACTGGAGGAGCTGGGTGCAGGGGACTCTGGGGTCAGTGACTGGTGCTGGGGCAGGTAGTGGAGTGGTGAGGGGATCTAGGGATTAGGGCTGGCTGTGGGGGCCGAGACTTTTTATTCCACAGACCAGCAAACCCACAAACAAACTTTTGGCAGACCGGTGACTAAGGATGTTAAATTTAGATTAATCAGCTAATCGAATAGTTGACACAATCTGCGTTGACTATTCGATTAGTTGATAGGGTGCCTCCATCTTTGAAGTGTAGCAAGAGCCCCAGCCAGGGCTGTTGCTACACTTCAAAGGTGAAAGCGGGGAGCACTGGGCCAGCAGGGGACTCAAGCAGTCTACCACTGGCCCCGTGCTTTCTGTGGTGTTTCAAAGCGGCAGCGCCGCATGGAGCCTGGGATCAGCTGGGGACTCAGAGCCTGGGAGTCCCAGCTGGCCCTGGGCTGCATGCAGTATTTTAAAGTGGCAGCGCCACATGGAGCCCAAGGTCCGGCTCCAGGCTCTGGCTCCAAGCTCCACGTGGCAATGCTGTTTTGAAGCACCTCTTCTTCTCCCCCCACCTCTGCTGTCTCTTTTTGATAGAGGCAGCAAGGGGGGAAGTGACTACCAGAAACATTTTATTTGCATATTTGAATATTCATTTGCATAATGAATATGCAAATATAATGTTACCAATCTGCCAAATGGGTTTGCCATTACCCAGTACAAAAAACGTTGGGAACCACTGATCTAAAATATACTAATATTTCTTCTCTTTCCCCTTCTGTGACTCATGCAGTGTTTTCTCCTTATAAATCAGACAATTATTGTGGAACTAAAGAAAACTGAAGTTAAAAAAATAAGTGTGTTGGAAAAAACAATGTATGCAATGAATTTTTCTTAATCTACCAATACCAAAATCTCACAAAGAGATATGAATGTAGTTTGTGGTGGGGAAGAGGGGCCATTTGCCCCTAAAAAAACTGCAAGCCTTGGGCAGAGGCAGAATTCCACACACAAAGCCCCACTGGCCTGCCTGGAGCTGTTCCTGAAATACAGAAGTCAAGCTATGCCTATGGAGAGGGGTCTATACATGTAACAATATAGCAGACAAAGACCCAGTGAAGGACTGAGAACCAAAGAGCAGGAACAAAAAATCCTTGAGAGTAACATTGTTTCAACTACCATACTGCAATGCTTACACAGTGGGCAATTCTTACCGGTTTTAAAATTCTTACAATTTTTTTAAACACTTCTACCAAGATTATATCTGAAAAACAAATACTTTACTGTTCATGCTAACAAATTAAACTGTTAGAGACCAATGTTGTTCCTGATAAACTCATAGACAAAACTTTCAGGGTCAAATTCTTCCCTCTGTTACAAAACTGATATTTCATTACATTCAATACTGTTGTGTTACTGTACACAGAATTTTCTCCCTATAGTCTTCAGCAAGGACAGGATTGGATTTTATAATATATATGGATATTTTGCATACTTATTTTTGGATTGCCTAGTATATTACACTAAGAAATTAAATGAAAAAATGTATTTAATCAATGGCATAACCTTGAAAAACTTATGTTGGCTTCCTTACCCTTTCCATCTCTTGAAATTCTTCATCTAGTTTTGTTCCTTCTGCTCCACTAATTTTTTCACTGAACAACTGCAAAAACAAAAGAAAACATTGTTACTTTATGAAAGAACATGTAGACCTGAGAGTTAAAGAAAGTTATTAGAAATGTAAGTCAAGTGTCTGTAGGTGCAGATTGCATCTCTATAAACCAAGAGTCTCTGGTCTGGCAAGATGCATGGTCCAGCAGGACCACAATGTTCCAGGATCAGAGAACCCCACCCCTCTGTGGGGGGAGGGGAGCACAGTGTGATGCAGTAGGCGAGAAGGAGATCTGGGAGCCTGGCTCACAGCTCAGCTAGGCTGCCATTGGGGTGGGAGATGGGGGTGGGAAGCCTGGTGGAGTAGCAGGGCATAGAGGGCCGTGAGGCAGGTAAACCAGAAAGTACCTTCTTTGGTCTGGCAAAATCCCTCACCCAGGACCAGTCAGGTCCCCAGAGTGCTGGACCAGGGAGGTCCAACCTATATTACTAAAGTGATACACACTTAAAGCAAGTGCACTTGAAGTGAGGTGCATGCTTATTGCATACAACACTCTGAGAACCATTCGTTCCCTCTGCATCCAATCTGTAGCTGCTATGGTTCAACTGGCACACCCCTCAAATTTTAGGTACACAAGGGCAATTAGCAAAACTACCCTCTCTGGGGACACCAATGTGGTTACAACAATCTTGCAGTCCATTGAAATGAGGAAGACCACTCATGCGGCCCACTCACTAGCCTAGGTTGTTCCTCACTGATCTCTAGGGAGGGGGAACTGCCCAAACTGGAGTTTCTAAATAATCACTGAAGTGATCTAGAAGATCAGAAAATTTCTCAAGCTTGAGACATTTGTACTCTTAAGAAGCTACACTGTAGATTTCAGATATAGAGGCCAACCAGCCAGATCACATTTAAATTGGTACAAAACTGGAGTAATTCTCTTCAAATCAACAATGTTACTACAGTTTACAATGAGATTAGATTTTGGCCCTGGATTCCTGCGAGTGCATTCATAACACTCCCAGTAACATTAATGGGTCCTATGCATGCACACTCTGGTCAGATAGCAGACTTATCAAAAATGGTGCAGAGTAACATATTTGTGCAATCCACTATCTTTTATACTTTTTAAAGAAAAAAAGGTACACTGTCTTCAAAACTATTTATCTCACAGAAGCAACTTCACTTGTAGGATTCCAACCAGGCAACTTGAACCATTTCAAGATACTTGGAATGTCAGCTAATTTTTTTGATATGCAAGATACATCAGCCCATCAGTATTATTTTTGGTCTTCATAAAAAAAAAGTTATGAGATTTGTGCTCCTAATTCACTTCAGTGCTTTAAAAAAATATGACATCTCACAAGTCATTGCTTCTTGTAATTGAAGATCTCACCCCTGTTACTAATAGCTAGTCTGTGTCTTAAGAGCAGGCTCGTTATATTGAAATACAGCAGGCTCGCTATTCCGACATCCCTGTAAACCTCATTGCACAAGAGTTAAGGGATGTTTCGGAATAGCACTTTATTTCAAAATTACCTTGAAATAAGCTACGCAATTTGCATAGTGCAAATTATTTCAAGGTAAGGGTGCTGTGTGGATTCACCCTAAGGGCAAGATCCTTTGCTGGTGTTAAAGGGTATACCCGAGTGTCACTGTACTTGGGACAGTGTTTTAATAATAATACCCAAAAAACAGTAAATTTTTTCATGTGAAATTTGCTCAGAGGTGTTTATCTGTTTAAATGAGCTCTTTGCTGCCATTTGAAAACAGCAACAATGTTAAAAAACAGAGCACAATAAGAAGTTGGGCATCAAGTACTCCATTGAAAAATAAATGCAGAAAGCACCAAAATGGAGTGGAGTGTTTTATTCTCCCTTTTCCAAAAGCCTCCCAAATTAGAATATATCTGACAACATAGAACAGACGTTGGAGAGCTGTAGAATCTGAAAATGGGTCACAGATACTAGATACGGAGCTGTTCTCTGTTCATGGCTTGATTCTGCATGGTACAGGTGTGCAGTACGGAGTGTATAAGCAAAAGATTAAGGAGTGATGAAGCAAGACAAGGAGCTCAGGAGAACCTGGTGCTGTGTTCATATAACTGCTGCTGTGTGCGGGCACCCGAAGACGCCTGCCTAGGGAAATAAGTGATGATGAAGAGAGAATTATGTTGCTAATTATTGTTTATTTGCATGCATTGCAGAAGCACTTAGAGGCCCAAATGCTATTATACCAGGCACTGTACAAAGAAATAACACACAGGGATGTTCTCTGCCCTAACACTCTTACAATCTCAGTGCTGAGGGACAGTAGGGGGATACAACAGAGCAGAGAGCACAAGGTTATGACGGGATGATACGGGTCAGCAGCAGTCACAGAGCAGCAGTCACAGAGCACCAACTGCCTGAACCAGGGGGCTCAAACTCAATTTACCTTTGGGCCAGGGCCGGTCTGCAAATCCTCCTAGTGGGCTCCAGTGGGCAGGGTCTCCACACATTCACCACACGTCTCCTGGCACTGGCTGCCAGCCTGCATACTACTGGGCCCTCCTCCCCATCCCCACCTGCTACCCCTGGGTGGTATAACACCCCCACCCAGGGTCCCTGGCAACAGAGCAGCTTCCAGCTGTTAGTTCTAGGCACTGTGGGCATGGCCTGAGGGAGGTACGTGCAGCGCCATCCTGTCCATAGGCTGGTTTAGTGTGGCTGCCATGGAATTCACACTTTGGGGGGCCCCACAGCAGCATCCCAACCATCCTATGGATCGGATGGTCATCCATACGCAGGTTAGCCTGGGGCGGGGGGCAGCAGGGGTTGGGCTCCCCGCACTCATTGCAGGGAACCAGAGCTATGCAGCAGCCTGCTCTGCTCTGCTGCCATCTTCCAAGCCAGCTGGGGCTAGGGTGCTCCACTTACGGCCACCATGGTGAAGCAAAGCGCCCAGCCTGGCCTCAGACAGGGCAAAGGCTGCTGCGTTGCTCCGCTTCCCCACAGCTCCCCGACTGCTGCCTCATACCAGACCCTCTGATAATCCCTGAGGCTGCATCCCTCAGGGGAGGGGGTTTTAGAAGAGGGGTGTGATGTGGTGGGGCAGAGGGAAGAGCAGGGGCAGGAAGAGGTGAGGTGAGGGCAGAGCAGGGGCTGGACTTGGGGGGAGGGTACAGATGTGCCCCCCAGAGGTACAGGGACTCATGTGTTGGCCAGACTGTGGAACTGCTCAGACCACAGATAGTCCCTGGGCCATGAGTTTGAGACTCTTGGCTTAAACTTTCTGTGGTTCTTTGTAGGTATCATGGCAGAGGAGTGTTTTAAAGGGAGGATTTGAAGTAGGAGAATGTGTTGGCTTTGTGGGTGTTTGCTGGGAGCTTCTCCAGAAGATAAGGGGTGCGGTGAGAAGAGAAAGCGCGAAGGTGCTTACTGTAAAATTTGACAAGTGGACAATCAAAAACGGGTATCACTTGCTCAGCAAAGGTGGGTGCCAACATCTTATATCTGTGTAAGAGATGACAGGGTGAGGCTAGCTTCCTCCCACACCTGCATGGACAAGGGAAAATCCACATACACAGGCTCCAAGCCACACAAGATAAACTCTTCTTGATATACTGAATAACGTATGGAAAAATTCACATTTGTATCTGTTATCTATATGATTTTCCTGATACTTACAATATCGATCAAGAATGATTTACTAAAAATATCATCTAAAGAAGCTGTGGTTCTCTGGCTTGAGAGGCAGCTTCTTCCAAATAGTCAGTGCACAGCAACATATGCAGCCCACAGTATACTCATGTAAACACATCCAGTCACTTGGGAAGTTGTACAAGAAAAACTCAACACCACAATGTTAAATCAACAACAGATATTTGAACAAGGAAATACTTTTATTTTAATTTTCTATAACGTTTTTAGGAGTGAAATGTAGTGGAGTATGAATGTTTGGTCTTCAGAAGGGAAAGGAGAGCATCACATAAGTTTTTACAGCACTCCATTAAACCCCAATACAATTTCTTCCTCTTCTTTGGAACAGAAATGAAAGATATAAATGAGGCAGATTCAAAAAGAAAATTACAAAAAACAAAGTTTAGATGTACAGCACTTAAAAACACCCATGGCACCCATTGCACCTTATGACACCCATTACAATATCCTCTCTTTGATTTTGAAATACCCTTAGGCTGTGTCCTTTTTTCGAAAAAACTTCACCTGCGTCTAGACTACAGCCGCGTTCTTTCGAAATTAAATCGAAAGAACGCGGCTTTTCTTTCGACGGCGGTAAACCTCATTTCACGAGGAAGAACGCCTTTTTTCGAAAGTGCTCTTTCGAAAAAAGGCATTCTTGAATGCCAGCAGGGCTTTTTAGAAAGAGAGCATCCAGACTCACTCGCTGCTTTCTTTCAAAAAAGCGGCTTGCTTTCTCAAAAGTTCCGCTTACAGTCTAGACGCTTTTTTTCGAAAGAGGCTTTTTCAAAAGTATCTTTAGAAAAATCCTCTTTCGAAAGAGGCTTGCAGTCTAGACATAGCCTTAGGGTGTGACTACACAGCATGGTTATTTCGAGATAACTAGTGTTATTTCAAAATAACAATGTGAGCATCTACACAGCCATTCCATTATTTCAAAATAAGTTTGAAATAACAGATGTCTTATTCCGAAATCTGTAAACCTCATTATACAAGGAACAATGCCTATTCCAAAAGAACTATTTTGACATAAGCCATGTGTAGATGCTCCACTGCTGCTATTTTGAAATAGCCCCTCACCAGGGCCATTCTAAGTTATATCTCCCCAGTGGCTTCTGCGGATCTAAATCGAGATAGCACATCTACATTAGGGAAGCCTGCCTCGGACTAATTTTGAGGCTTCCCTGCAGTGTAGACATACTATTTCAAAATAAGCTATTTTGGAATAACTATTCTGGAATAGCTTATTTTGAAATAAGCATGCAGTGCAGACATACCATCAGTTTCCAATTTCTCCTCTAAATACACTTGCAATTTAGCCCTTTGTCCACATATGGCCAGACTCTCAAAAGAGCCAGAGAAATCTGGTCA